CTGGTCAAGCCACCGCTGGGGTTCCATCGGCGGGAAGCGCGGAAGCGCCCTGGAGTAGAGTGACCAGTGGGGCTTGCGCCCGACGCAGTTGGGATTGCTCCCGAAGGAAGAGGAGATGGAGGATCGAAGGTAGGCGCGTGAAATCCTCCACTGCCTGTTCCTACTCTTTCCTGTCCCCCCGCGGGCGGCGTGGCGTTGAAGTTCAGCAGCTAGCCGCGCCTCGGGTCCGTCTGAGCTGGGGGGGGGTATCTGGGACACCCACACGGTCACCTCTAAGGCTCTCCGAATCATCACCGAGCCGTCGCGCCGTCGGAGAGCTCGGACGCGAGGCCCCGACGGATCCCTTACTGCGCATGCGCCGCTTGGGTTCCATCAAGGCCGCGTGCGAGATCGCGACGCGGGGTTCGATGAACGGTGAGCTTTAAGGGCCGATAACCTGTGTATGGGGTTGGAGTACAAAGGTACAGAACCCCTTGACCCGTTGGTAGAGGATATGAGGGAATGATGGATATCTTTTCCTCCTGCACGATCAAGGGATCAAAGGTCTGATCGATACCAATCCAATACCTGAACCCAAGCGGCCAGGGGCAGGAGAGTGAGGATAAGGAGTAGAAATGAGGGTATTATACGGGTTCCATTCACAGGATCGGCGATACCTCGCCGATGGACCGGCGATGAGCCCCCCGACAGCGAATCCGCGCGATCCTTGGCGGGGCGGGATGATCGGGCCTCCATCGGCGAACACTGGCCGACTGGGGGCCGATGCGTTCCCCCTCCCAGGAGCCTCTCCCCAGCTGACATTGCACCCGAGCTGCCTGATCTTGGCCCCCCCCCCTCCTGGGCCCGGAACCGGTCCATAGCCATCATTGTGGCTGCCATGACCGTAGACACCCTGAGAGTCCTATCATTGAACTTAAACATGTGTTCAAATAATGTCGGAAACATGTTCTAAGCATGTTTTTTTTTGTTCACATGTTCAACACCTGTGCAACACATGCTCTAGAGACATCTGGACACGATCTGGCAACGCGATTCCTCTCATTGATCGCCCGCCACACAGCTGCCAGACGAGCGCTGGCCATCGCTCGGACGTCCATTCCGTGTGTTTTTTTCGGTTTCGTGCGTGGTTTTTTCGCCAAATCATCAAGGATGCTCCTCACGTCCGAGCGATGCCAAGAGGATCTGCGCACGCCGATGCTCGGCTGGGGGTCGTGCCCGCGACGCCGATGCACGGCCGAGCGGCGCCCCTCGCGCGCGCTGGAGGGGGGGGCCTGCCGGTGGCTGCCGGGGGGGCCTGCCGGAGGCAGCCGCGGGATCCTCCGACGCCCGACCGGAAGGCCTTCGACTCGGAGGCCACCGGAGGCCGTCGACGCAGCCCCCCCCCCCCCCCCTGGGCTTCTGTGTGTGGACGCCATGACAGTGGACACGCTAACCACCCGACCATTGAATCAAAAGTGTGCTCAAATGGTGTAAAACCTGTTCTGCACATGTTTCATACATGCTTTTGCATGTTCAAAGCATGCTTGACACATGATTTAGACATCCGGAAACTATGTGGCAGCATGCTTCCTCTCCGTGAAATCGACTTCCACAAGCTTATGTTGTTCCCATCGTGCTTCAGGACCACATCCCAGAAACAACTCCTAGCACCAGAAAAGTATCGAAGCAGTGTCTGTCCCGACGCGCTGGCGAAGCGTCGAACGACAACCGCCTCCCGGGGCCCGACACGTGAACACCCTCCAATGTCGGTACTTCCCTGGTGCCTCGCGCTGAACAGGAGCATCCGTCTGGGCCCGCTCCCCGGCCCCACCTTGGGAGAACCCTCCCTCTACGAACTCGGGGGCGGCCAAGAGGGGGGCGTCCAAGAGGCGGACGGTGCAAATCATGACCGGCGGCGTGTGCGCGACCCAAGGGGGGGCCGGGGACGTCACGAAACAAGAAGAGGCGCCGTGAAATCTGAGGAAATAGCATGGCCCACGCCGTGAGATCCACCCCCCCTAGTCTTAAGTCGGGCGCGTCCCCCTACAGAGGGATTTTGGACGAAGAATTGAAAAATACCCTTAAAACATGCTCAAAAGATGCCCCGCAATACGCAACAAAATTAGTCCCCAGACTATTTTTTCCGACTATTCTTGAACATCCCCCCTGTAGAGGGACAGGCCCGACGTGACCCTGGCCATCACCCCCCTCTCTGCCGACCCCGACGAGCCCCCGAGTGACCCTGGGCCCGTGGCCCCCGGGCCACACGTCGACTCGCCGGCGGCCCTGCCGCGAGCGCCCGCCGAGCGCCGAGCCCTGCTCGGCGGGGTCCCCCTCCTCCTCCTCCTCCTCCTCCTCCTCGTCCTCCTCCTCCTCCTCTCCTCCTCCTCCTCCTCCTCCTCCTCCTCCTCCTCCTCCTCCCCCTCCTCCAAGGGGGGGGGGGGGGCCGCGGGTGCGCCCCGCAGCCCGTGCGCGGGCGGGGGAGGGGGGGGGGGCAGGGCGATCGGGGGGGAGGTCTCGTGGCCCTGCCCACGACATCCCCCCCCCTGCAGATGGCGGGCTCTCGAGACCCCGCAGCCAGAACGCGCTGCCGGCTCTTCGGAGCGCATGCCTTTTGCTCACGCCGCCTTCCGCCGCCCTCCCGCCGCGAGAGGGAGAACGAGAGAGTTAGAGAGAGAAAGAAATCAAACGACAAGTGAGAAAGAGAGAGAGAGAGAGAGAAAGAAATCGAACGACAAGTAGCCAGAGAGAGAGAGAGAGAGGACAAGAAACAGCGAGAGAGCCTTCCGCCGAGGAAGAGATGACGGCTCCTTCGATCCTCGAGGGCAGGGCTGTGCGCCCCCGGCGCCAGGCGCGGCGGCTCGAGCGCGGGCCCCGACGCCGGAGCACGCCGCAGCGAGAGCCGAGGGGGCCGCCCGGAGACCTCGCTCCTCTCCCGAGGCCTCCGAAGGCCTCCGAGGATAGGGGTCCTCCTCCTCCTCCTCCTCCTCCTCCTCGGGGGGGGACCAAAAGATCCCGGATGCGGCTGCGCCTCGGAGCTCTCTCCCCCCAGAGGCGCTCTGACCAGCACGCCGAGGCGAATCCAACCGTGGCGACCGTGGCCTCCCGGGAGGCCCCAGCAGGCCCCGTGGGAGGGAAGGGCCTCGCCGAGAACCGGTGAAAACGCCCGAGCCCTGAGATCCTGCGTTGCGGACAGTATGCAATGTCGCGAACAATCACCACCAGATCCCTAGACACAATCTTTCTGTGGAATTTTCTGAGCCAGATCGATCTGCAATGGCTTCAGAGCCCGAAACCTTGTGAACACTCACAGTGTAAAACAATTGCAGCGACCGGATCTCATGCGCCTCTGGACGCCTCCTGGGCACTATTTTCTTTTCCTTCGTTTTCTTCTTCTTCTTCTTCGTCCTGCTCCTCCTCCTGTTCCTCCTTCTCCTCCTCCACCTCTCCTCCTCCTCCTCCTCCCCCCCGCCTCCTCCTCCTCCTCCTCCTCCTCGTCCTCCTCCTCCTCCTCCTCCTCGTCCTCCTTCTCCTCCTTCTCCTCCTCCCCCCCACCCCTCCTCCTCCTCCTCCTCCTCCTCCTCCTCCTCCTCCTCCTCCTCCTCCTCCTTCCCCTCCTCCTCTTTCTGCTCCTCCTCTTTTTTCCTATGATTCCTGTTTTGCCTGCTTTTCTTCGTGTTCCTCTTTGTCCTCTTTTTCCTATATTTCTCCTCCTTATGAAAAACTTCTCCCTGTCGCACCTCGAGGCTAGTTTTTAGAGCGGGCCGGGCGTTTCGCCTGAGACCTTCACAGATGGAGGGCGGGTGGTTTTCAAAATGTGGCTCTTGCCTTAGCGCCGCGCAGTGTCGTTTGAACCAGTTGCAAGAGTTTCACGGATTGAAGACGGGTGATTTTCAACATGTGGCTCTCGCCTTAGCGCCGCGTACATTCGTTTTTAACAATTGTAAGAATTTCACGGATTGAAGGCGGGTGGTTTTCAAAATGTGGCTCTCACCTTAGCGCCGCGAACCCTCTTTTAAACATTTGCAAGAGGTTCACGGATTGAGGGCGGGTCGTTTTCAAAGTGTGGCTCTCGCCTTAGCGCCACGCACATTCGTTTTCAACATTTGAAAGAGCTTCATGTATTGAGGGCGGGCCTTTTTCCAAATGTGGTTCTCGCCTTAGCGCCGCGCACATTCGTTTTAACACTTTGCAGGAGTTTCGCCGATTCCCATGATCAACGTATCAGAAATGGGGCTTTCGGAAAAGCTTCAGGATTATGCTCGCGCAACAATTGAATTGATTCGCGGTGTTGAAATCACACAAATGGCGTTGTGGCACGATTCTGGATAGTCAAATCGCAGCAGCCAGGTTGATACGTGGCGTTGAAATCCCGAGAACAATGCATTGGCATGCTTCTGGATCTTCAAACGGTTGTCTTCCAACGGGGCAGTTCCCTCAATGGAAATGACACGTTGTAGGAACCTATGAAAAGAAAGCTTGAGGGGGTTATTCCAACATCGTTGGTGACTCTTGGGTTTACACTCGTCCTCCTCCTCCTCCTCCTCCTCCTCCTCCTCCTCCCCTCCCCCTCCCCCTCCCCCTCCCTCCCCTCCCCCTCCCCCTCCCCCTCCCTCCTCCTCCTCCCTCCTGCTCCTCCTGCCTCCTCCTCCTCCTCCTCCTCCTCCTCCTCCTCCTCCTCCTCCTCCTCCTCCTCCTCCCCTCCCCCTCCCCCTCCCCCTCCCCCTCCCCTCCCCCTCCCCCCTCCCCTCCTCCTCCTCCTCCTCCTCCTCCTCCTCCTCCTCCTCCTCCTCCTCCTCCTCTCTCCTCCTCCTCCTCCTCCCTCCTCCTCCTCCTCCTCCTCCTCCCCCTCCCCTCAGGGGCAACGCTGGGGGGACATAGGCTCAGGGGGCACGCCTCCACCCCCAATCGCCCACTCGGCGCCGCGAGGCTCTGGCCGCCGCCCATGGCCTCCGACCCGGCGGCCGATCCGGCGACCTCCGCGCGAGGGCCTCCGCGCAGAGGGCCGCCGAGGGCCTCGCCTGCTGCGCCTGCCCCAGCAGGTGCAGCGCCGCTCCGATGCCCTCCACGGCGCAGCCTCCAGCCGGAGGAGGAGGAGGAGGGGAGAGGGGGGAGGAGGAGGAGGAGGAGGAGGAGGAGGAGGAGGAGGAGGAGGAGGAGGAGGAGGAGGAGGAGGAGGAGGAGGAGGAGGAGAGGAGGAGGAGTAGGAGGAGGAGGAGGAGGAGGAGGAGGAGGAGGAGGAGGAGGAGGAGGAGGCCGATAATAGCCACCCGGACACGCGCCCAAAGCAGGAATCGAACAGGGCAGAGCTGTTTAGAGTAAACGCTCAGGGCCGTTTAGAGTAAACGCCAGTGGTCGGGCCCGGGTGGCTTCCCCTCCCTTGAGGAGGGGGGCCGGTTGAGCGAGGGCTCGAGACGACAGGGCGAGGACGGCTTCGGGCGAGGATGCATCGAGAACCTCTGAGATCCGGCGGCTCTGGAGGGCCCTCGCGGCCTTCGCGGAGCGCTCCGGACCGCTTCGGGAGCGTTCCGGAACGCTCTGGAGCGGCCGTGTCCTCGTCCCGGCCCCGCCCGAGGGCCAGAGGGTCCTCGGTGGAGGCGACTCGCAGGCGACCGCGACCCTCCGCGGGGCCACAGAACTGGACGCCCGAAATGGGTGCGGAACGATGCCCAACGACAAATGTTGTCCAAAGCTGGCAGCGGCCGCAGTTGGGCAGGCGGGCTTCTGTCTCAAATGGACAGCGCCCGCGGCGACGCCGACAGCGGATCCGGTTCAAAATTGACACTTCTGTCTCAAATGGACAGCGCCTGCGGCGACGCCGACAGCGAATCCGTTTCAAATTGGACAGGAACTGCTATTGGTCATCGTACGCATGTTCTCCTCACCCATTTTGTTCGTGCCTATCGGAGGCCCCGATGCCCCGACGCCCCCGGGCCCCAACGGCGGCGGCGCGGCATCAGCGAGGCAACGCGGCGCAGCCCGGCGGCACGGGGCAGCTCGGCGCGGCAACGGCGGGAGCGCCGCTTCCAAACGGAAATTGAACTGGAGCCAAACGATACCAAGCTGCTCCTGGGGTGGCCCGCGGCAGTCAGGCTGCCTGACGTGGAAGCGCGTGATATGATTTCGTTTAACTTGGGAAGCAGACTTTCATACTGTGAGTTTGACTCTGGACTTAGGTCGGGCATGTCCCCCTACAGGCGGATTTTCGACGAGAAATCCGCCGACCCTGTCGTCGTGTGTGAGGGGCTTTTCCGTTCGAGCCGTCATCTCCGTCATTCTTTGTAATCGTCGTCTCTGTCGTTCCCTCTCCCTGGTACCCCTCTTCCCCTGGGCTCCTCCCCGCTCCCCTCGCCCTTTCCCAGGGCCTCCTCCTCAAGCGCGCTAGCCAAACCGACCTTCAGCAACGTCGTAATTGATTCGAAGGGAAGCCCCTTCCCTTTCCCTTCCCCGACGGGGGGGGGAGGGGGGGTCCCGGGGGGGGTCCCGGGGGAGTCCCGGGTCAGATACGACGGCCCCCCCGTACCGACCTTGAGCAACGTCGTAATTGAGTCGAAGGGAAGCCCCTTCCCTTTCCCTTCCCCGACGGGGGGGGGAGGGGGGGTCCCGGGGGGGTCCCGGGGGAGTCCCGGGTCAGATACGACGGCCCCCCCCCGTACCGACCTTGAGCAACGTCGTAATTGAGTCGAAGGGAAGCCCCTTCCCTTTCCCTTCCCCGACGGGGGGGGGAGGGGGGGTCCCGGGGGGGGTCCCGGGGGAGTCCCGGGTCAGATACGACGCCCCCCCCCCGTACCGACCTTGAGCAACGTCGTAATTGAGTCGAAGGGAAGCCCCTTCCCTTTCCCTTCCCCGACGGGGGGGGGAGGGGGGGTCCCGGGGGGGGGTCCCGGGGGAGTCCCGGGGAAGTCCCGGGTCAGATACGACACCTCCCTCCCCCACCTTCTCGTCCTTCTCCCCGTTCCCCAAAACCATCCCACAGCCCGTGCCTCTTGCTGCGCATTGCGAACACGGTCGGCGGCACCGGCCGTAAGGCCTTCGCAATAAAACATGATCAAACATAGGTACAACTAGTACCTGAGATTGCCACGAACCCCGACCTTGGAGGACAAGTGGGCGTCACTTGCAAGAAAGAGAACGGCAAAGAATAGGATGCCTACAGAGCGCATCACGTTGGGTCCCGTGTTGTCCGTTTGGGCATCCTTAGGGCCCTCTCGGGCGTCTCATAAGGCTTCCTGGGGGCCTCTGGAGAGCGTCTCGGGGCCCGTGCGTGCGAAGGCGGCCAGGGTAAGACGCTCCGTCTGCGGAGCGCTTGGGCGGAGAGCTCCACATGTGCGACGGTGCTCCCCCGCAGGTGAGCTGAGCAAAGAACTACAAGAAACGACTGAGGCTGAATTCTTTGGGGCCGTGCTGGGGCCTTCCCGGGGGCTTCCTGCGGGGCTCTTGCGCAGTCTGCAGGCCCTCTTGGCGACCTCTCGCAAAGGTGTCCGCAGGGAAAGGTGACCGAGAAAACGACGGGGCGTGTCGGGGGTAAGCTGAGATTGTTTCTATGCAAGCCACCAGGTGAGCTCGACACGTTTCCACGTTTGCCACCAGGTGAGCTCTCCTCTGAGGGAGGAGGAGGAGGAGGAGGAGGAGGAGGAGGAGGAGGAGGAGGAGGAGGAGGAGGAGGAGGAGGAGGGGGCGTGTGCGGGGACGCACTGAACGAGGAGGGATAGACGAGCGCGTTCCACTACTCGCAAGGTAACTTCTCGCAAATGGCCTGGATCCGCCGCGGGGGATCTACGAGAAACTACACCAGAAACGGACGTGCGTTGCTCGGACGTCGGCGAGTAGGCATCTTGCGAGTAGCGGAACGCGCTCGGCGAAAGAAGAGGGGGTCATGACACCAGGGGGGACTTCATGGCCTGCCATGATCACCCCAACCTAGGTCCTCACCCCCCTCCTGGGGCCATGATTCGGCACTCCGGCAGCCGCTCAGGACGACCCGACCCGACCGCCCCATGGAACGCTCTCGGCGGGGCGCGGCTGCCGGAGAGCCCTCCGAGGCTGAACACTGCCAGGCGCCGACGGAGACGCCCCGAAACCCTGTACCACTACTCCCTGGACCTCTCCTGGGGTGCGCTCTGGCCAGCATCTCAAGGAGGATCCAGCCGTGGCGCCGAGGCCCTCCCAAGAGGCCAACAACCAGCCCAAGCCGGGAGAACAGCTAGCGGTACCGGCGCCTGTTTGTCCTCTGAGACCCCTCGTCCCCGCCCCCCTCGGGATGCACGAACAGCACGCCGCCATGCCCATCGGGTGGACGGCGCTCGGGCGGGAGCCTCTCCGGCAGTCCGACAACCTGCACCCATCCTCATAGCCAGCCCTCCTCCCTCCGACCCCTCTATGGGTGCAGGCGGGGCGTTGACCTAAGGAACCCCAAATAAGGAACGGGGCCCCTTTGCTCCATACGTTGAACTTCGATCTCCCGTCGAAAACCCAAGGGAAAACCCGAGGCGAGCTGTGACACAATCAGGGAGCACGGAGCCCCTCCCCAACGAGAAGGGCTCCTTCTTCAGGGCCCCGACTGCATGGGGGCATGGGTAGGGCGACGGAATCTATACATATCCACTGCTCCCTGGCCAGGCCCATCCTCAACCCCGCAGCGGTGTATACGCCACGCCCTCCTGGCTTGGCCAGGAGGGCGCATACACAGCTCCTGGGTTCAAGATGGGCATGGTCAGGGAGCAGTGGATATGTATAGATTTCGTCGCCCGAATGGGTGTGTGCTGCTCCTTCGTCACCCCCCGGCAGCCCCCGAGAGCGCCGAGCCCTGCGAGGGGTCCTCAGGGCGAGCGCCGCGCGCGCGGCTGTGCGGGGGGGCTGCGGGCTCGCCTGCCGCCGCTGCCAGGCGGCCCCGTGCCTCGGCGCCTGCGGGAGGAGGAGGGGAGGGAGGGGGGGAGACGATCGACTACGAGCGAGCATCTCCCTCCCTCCCTGGCGTATACTCTGTCCTACCCTTATGGGCCCGCTATTTTCTTCTTTGCCTCTCGCGCCCATCTTGATTTCTGCTACCCCCGCCAGGCGTAAACAGGCTCAAGTCGGCACTAAGTTTATGTCACACGGACGCCACAGCCAAGACGCTCAAGCTCGCCCAATGAAGGGGGGGGGGGAAGGCCGGGGTCCAAATCTACGACGATCTGATTTTTTTCAATCTCGGCGGTTTCCCCTCGATCTGGTCCCCGTGATCAGACCCTGCTGCCGCCAGCTTACCCCAGCGAGGCACCCTCACAACAACAGCAAGGGGGAAGAGGCGGGTCGAAGAGCAGGAGGAGCACGGTCGTGGAGGCCCCGAGGACGAACCGGTGCGGCCCGGACAGGGGTGAGAGCACGGCCACGTGCACCCTATGGAGCAGGGACCGACCGTCCCGACGTTCCCGGAGTCCTACCACGAAATGTTCTTCGAACCCCCAGAGGTGTTCGAAGAATAGAGGCACTGTTCTCAATCATATAAGCCCGATGTGGCAAAACACGACAGACTCCGCCAGAAATGTTCGAAGAACGTTTCGTGGGAATCACAGAAGGTTCTTAGAACATTGCTTGGTAGCGCTATAGGCACAACAGGACGCTTCGCCACTGCTTGAGTTACGAAAGATCTTGCCCCTCCAGACCAGCAGTGTGGCTGGCATCGAGGCGATAGCACGCGCAACCGTTGCCAGACTGGGTGGTCTGGGGCTCCCAGTACCCCCCTTGTGGGACTCTTCTCAAGGGGGGGCAATGGGATACACACGTATAAATAAATACGAGCAGTAGGACTCACCATATTTTCGGGGATTTCGTCTTCCCCCCCACTTCCCATATTTTCCCATGTTTTCCTAGGAGTCCACGATGAATTGTGTCAGTGTGTTTTTGTTTCCCCTCCTGATCTTCTGTGGTCGTCGTCTACCTCTACTAGAGCCCTCTCGCGAAGCGCTGTCAGGGAAAATGGGTCTCGGGCGAAAAGCTGGCCGCGAGGAAGGGATCGCGCATCTAAAACTCGGCGGTGGACAAACCTCCCTTCAGTACACCTCCCCTTAGTGAAGACGGCATGGGTGGGACCGACGCCGACGGACCCGGACCCGCAGAAAGGACGGCCGCGACGCCCTCTCGCGAACCGAGAGCGGCCAGTTCCTTAATCGACGTGTCAGGGTAGGAAGTCTGTCCACCACCAAAAAATCACGATCGCCGGATGTCCGGGAGGGGTGCTCTGGAGTTAGCCGGGCACTCTCGCGCCGTGTCCGACGTGCTGCCCCCGCCGCAAGCCCTCTCTCCCACTGCGCCGTACGTTTTTGTTCGCCCGCCGGGGGTGTCTTGGCGACCCTAATCTTCGAAGTGTTAGGAGGCAACTACTGGGAGGTTTTTGTCGGAAAGAGTAAGGAGGATTCAGCCCCATTTGGGAGCTGATACGCCGGAAGGGGCCTCGGACTAGGCAAGATTAGGCACGATTAAACGGGATTCAACGGGATCAAGCCGGATTTAGCCGGACTTCGAACCAGAGCAAAATCAGAATTTGACCTCCCAAGAATTGCATCCGAAGAAGTGGTCCCACCGTCTGCTGTGCTGAGGGGCAACGATAGGGGGGGATGGCCATGGGGGGGATGCATCGACCTGGAAGCGGCGATGCATCGCCGATAGAGCGGCGATGGGCCCCGATAGCGAATCCGCGCCTTCCTGGGCGGGTTGGGGCTATCGGGCCCCTACCGACGATCAATGGGCGATTTGGGGTCGGTGCATTTCCCCCCCGATGCCTATCCCCCCCCCTACACCCTGCGAAATGCTTAAGAAATCATGGGTTAAGAAATTCATAGTCTCAGAACTTGAATAAAAACCCAACATTTCTATTATAATCTTAAGATCTACATTGAAATATTAAGAATAATCGAGACTGCTGTGCGCTCAGGCAGGGAGGTCTTTGCATAGCCGGCCGAGGGAGGCGAGCCCGTGCAGCGACGCGGGCGCCGCGCCGCCCCTGGCGCCCGGCAGGTCCAGGGCGAGGCCGGGGGCGAGCGCAGCCAGAGCTGCATTCGGGGATGGACATTGGGCGCCCGAGTTATCCGGGGTAACTCGGGTCCGGGGTAACTCGGGTTCGGGTTCCCGAAAAAGCGAACCCGAGTTATCCCTGACCCGAGTTACCCCTGATGATTCGGGGCTCTGGGCGCCCGAGTTATCCGGGGTAACTCGGGTCCGGGATAACTCGGGTTCGGAATCCCGAAAAACGAACCCGAGTTAGCCCTGACCCGAGTTACCCCTGATGATTCGGGGCTCTGAGGACAGACCTCCCTTCAGCAAAACGTGGTTTAGTGAAAGCGACCTGAGGCCCAAACCTGGCGGGCGCAGGCCCGGAAGATGACGGCCGCGGCGCCCTCTCGAGGAGCGGAAACGGACAATTCACTGATCGACGTGTCACTGTTGGGGGCTCTGTCCAGCCCCGATGCATGCGAGGCAGACGGCGCGGCGTCGACTCGCGAAGGGAGCCCCCGGCGCCTCGCGCCGGGGAGCCGCGCCGGGTGCGGCGGCGAGGGGCCCTGCCCGCCGGGCAAAGGCCAAGGCGAAAGCGGGGCGAGCCGCGACTCGCCACGGCGCCGGGCGGACATCCCCTGCGGCCCGCCAACACACATGCAAAAAACTCCCAGACAAAAAAACGGAAGACAATTAAACATAACTTATGCGTGAGAAGACCCCAATCAGTGGATGATGCGAGCACTGATGCTCTATGGATCTTGAGATCGACTGTGAGATCGATCATGAGATCGATAGTGGGATCGATAGTGAGGACGATTGTAAGGTCGATCGTGAGACCGAGAATGAAATCGATTCAATGAGATCGATAGTGAGATCGATCGCGAGATCGCTCATGCAATCTCTAGTGAGGTCGCTTGTGATATTAATAGTGAGATCGATTGTGAGATCGATCGAGAAATCGGTAATGAGATCGATGGTGAGACCGATCGATAAGAAGATCGACCAAGAACCCGGGAATCTGGGAACCTCGTCGCCCTCCGAGATCGGCCCAGAACCCCAAACAAAGAACCCAGGAACCCGGCACCGGGAACCGGGGAACTGGGGAACCCAGCCTGCCACAAAAATCAGCGGGGAACTTTCGCCAAATGTTTCAACATCCGCTAGGACCCCTTCAGTGCAAGCACTGATTGGGAATAAACAGCGTCCGACCAGAACTTGCGAGGGTCCTAAAACGCCTGCAGGGGCCCTTGCGAGGGTCCTAACACGCCTGCAGGGGCCCTCGCCCCAATGGCTTACACCACTGGTGAGATGCTACCCTTCTCGACACACTCCTTGGTTTCGATACATTCCTTGCTAACGCAGCTGTGCGTAGCAATCGCAAAACTTGCGCGACGAAATGCTTGGGCGTGAAACCTGAGACCCACCTGTCATGAAAAACTCTGAATCTCCGCGGACTCAACTGTAAGGGCTCGGCCGAAAGGCGTCTAGCCACCGCTACCGTGGCCTCGTCCACTCCTTCGTCCCCACCCAACCTCCCGACACAATACACCCAATCTCCTTCACCGCCCGCCCCTCGTCTCCTCGTCGTCACTCTGGCCAGGAAGCTTCCTCGGATGAAGGCCGGGCTGGTTATCGGCAACATATCACTGCTAAACTGTTCATGCCCAGACACCGGTAGGGTGCAGCAGGGCCAGCACATTTTGCACTGCTCGCTTCAAGAATATCTGGTTTCATTGCCTCGACGTCGGCAGACCTGCTCATGCACGCGCCCTGTTGCTCGTCTTTTTCATGTTTGGTATTGGAAGTGCTCGAATCGCGGCTTGGGAATTCTGTGGACTCTACCTTTTCAGCTGATGCAGACGTGGCAGCCCCGCCTGTGAGTATGCTCTCCTGTATACGACCTGGCACCAATACAGCTGCCGACAGGAAGCCAATCGACCCCAGGACACCAAAGGCAAGATTGTAGTCAACGTCTGCAAGGACGCCGCCTGCTAGGTTGCTCAATGCTGCTCCCAGCTGATGGGCAAGACAGACAAACCCGAACGTAATATTGAACCTACCAGTTCCCTCGGAGAGGCTTCGGGCCACTGAAAACTGGCAGACTCCAGTGACGCCCGCCCCGATACCATCTAGAATCTGAGTCGCAGCCAGCGCTGGCAAGGAGGCACCGAAAAATTTGGAGACGACGATGATCAAACAGCACCTGATGGGCAAGTGCAGGATTCCGATGTACAACACGCCCTTGTAGCCGATGTATGGGGTCAATTTCATCAAATGCGTCGCTGCGATTGATGTTATTTGAGCGATGACGATGAGTCCGGCTGCCCAAACCATCCCGTCTCTACCAGACCCAAAGGCCATCACCTGTCCCAGGAGGGGCAAGATAGAGGCATTGGATAAATGAAAAAGGAAGATGCATAATACAAACGAAAGAACGTTGCGATTCAAAAACACCTCCCTGTATTCACTCGCAATGAAACTATGGTGTCGTTTTGATATGTCCGACGGGCTCCGCTCCACTTCATGCCGCGAATCAGCGAGGCCTCGTGCGACTTGGTCCGAAAGCGCGCTGGCGGGAAAACGCGCGAAGCCAGCGATGCCGACTGCACACATCAACGCAATGGATAAGAACATCCAGCCAACGTTTGGGTAAAATGCGTAAGCCACACACGCCATAAATATAGCGGAAAATAAGCTGCCACCATGATTCGCACGCTCATTATGCTCCATCTCTCTGTCGAAGTGAAGGGGGCCTACCGTACCCAATGTGAGAGCCCCGATTCCTGGCCCAATGGCCGAAGCACATGTGCCTCCGATAATGCTTCTGGCAAAGATCACCCAAAAATTACTTGTGAAGGCGATGATGGCGTTGGAACATCCCAAAACCGCTGTCAACAAGACGAGCGCTTTGATCTTGTGCCGTGTCTTAT